ATCTTTTATTGTATATTTGCAACTAACAATATAAATGTCCTATAACTAATGTGTCGAACGACTGCTTTGGCTTCGAGTGTGACATTCTCGAACGCACCTGATATAAATAATTTCGCAATAAACTAACCCTACAAAAACATGGAGCACTGTTTCAAGTTTCTCACCTTTGAGATATTTCCCAGTTCACTTTTTCTGATCCTGGTATCAAATGAAATATGCGATTGCGATTCTTGTGCACAATTTTAGGGTAAAACAAAATGTATGACAGTGTATTGACAAACTTACAGGTCTGGTTTCTCAAACGTCTCGATAGCTTTTCGACCCCGCATAGCTGTTTCGTGTTTGTCATGTTTGCATTCAAGATCAAGGTTCCAATAATTTTGAAAATGATACAATAAAACTATCAGTTAACGAAGCAAAATTGACCGGTTTGTGAACTGCTAGGAACTTTTTTGACTTTTAAATTTGCCTTCGGGTATGAAAAGTTTCCGGGCCTTTCGAGAAACGGGCCCCTGCAGGTCACATCAGGAGGACTGCTGGAACTCTTAATTTAAAAGGGTTTTCTAATTTTAATGCACCCCGTCCTTATTAGGCAGTAGTTATACTGCTAAGAGGAAAACACGTGAAGAAAATCAGTTGAGAGGTAGACTTTGTACGTCGAGGAAATTCTGATAAAATGATCGCCAGCCGGGTCAAAGATATTTTTTCACGAACTAATGTAACCATCTTGAACATCAGGGCTCTTTGGGACAAAGATTTGAAGTCAACGATTATTTTGTTACAAGAGAGGATAAAGGGGACAGAGAAGGCACCCCCCATACACACCCTATTCCATAGGTAATTCGTCTCGAGTTATTTTTAGAATCGGGATAAAGTTACCTCGCGCGCTGCGCGGATGTTTCGTGGAGGTTTCGCATGACTAAACGCCGTGCAAAACATGTCGGGCGAAAGGCAATGAAAGCGTAAAGAGATCGAGAGCATTCCTGAATATTGAAGCGAAATTAATCGGCGCTCACCTGGGAAAAGGGAATCGCTGGACTCTTTGACAACCCGTGAAATCACTTTAACTCGAAGTTGTCGTAACCTCAGTGCTTTAATAAAATGAGAAATTTCGCCGGTCTATTGAAACCGGTCGTTTGTACAATAAAGCAAGTAGGACGCCAAGTGTTATTGTTGTTGAATAATAAAAGACTAATAAAAGAATAAAAATCAAACCAGAAATTGCTCTCTTCAAACTGTAAATTATAAATGATCCTGAGAGAATATTCAGGTGTGTTAAGAATTTCCCTGCTAAACTGTTAGCTCTTATACAAGAGAGGAAGGGCGATTCTTTTTTAATTTCCGTTTCGCTGACACAGCTTTAGCAGAAACCTCTCTGTGGTGGTTTTCGTCGACAAAACGAATAGCAATATCGCTCTCCGCGCCTTCCGCCACTTTGTTCTGCGTCAATTCGTGAAAGACGCGTGCCTCTGAGCGTGGGTCATCCACGCGGAACACATTCGCACTATGTGATTGGCTGTTGTCTAATCCCCCTTGAGATCTGTGGTGTTAAAATTAACTCGAGACGAATTACCTATGGAATAGGGTGTGTATGGGGAATGCCTTCTCAGTCCCCTTTATCCTCTCTTGTTTTTTACTATGAAGCCAGATACGAAGTTACACTGGAAGGGACGATCTTTGGACCATGATTTTTTGATCATTATTACAAAGGGAAATTTATATTTATAAATAAATATATTTATATATTTATATATTTATATTTAAAGCTTGCTTCTTTACAAATTAATGGAGCCAATGAATGACACGTACCCTTCTAAACTGAGATCGAGTTGAATTGAACTCATGTCAAGATAATGAAAGGTTAATGGTCCAGATAATGCATCAGTACTTGGTTTTTAATTTATTGTTTCAAGTGTGATGCATATATATATATATATGCCTATATATATGGGTCAATAAAGGATTAAAATCAACATATGTAGTCCATTCTCCTTTGTACAAAGTATATATATATATATATGGGGTAATATATCTATGCCTTACAACCCGAGGCTTTTTGTCGGGCACTATCGAAGTCATTTCGAAGCGAATTGCGTTACTATTGTGTACTCAAGTGTGGGTTTGCAGGATGCGAAGCGCCCCTAGCTCCGGACCTGTTCTACTGAATGATTGTTCGATAGTAAATGAGCCCGGAATTGAAAGCTAGTCTCTGTATATTTTTATGTGGTGTCCCAAATCGGCCAATTTTGCAACCTTGTTAAACGTGTCACAGAATCAAGTCATCCACGAGTATATTTCCTACACCGTTTAGTTGACTAGTTGACTAAAGGACACTTTTTCAGACCGTCACCTTTTGATTTCTCCTCCTTTTTCTGACTAACCCACTTAACACAGCAGCATCCTTCCCCCAAGACTGACTATCGGAACTTGGTTGCCTTGACCCCAGGCGTGGTCAACAACCAAGTCGGTGCGTGCAAAACTTCTGATTCCATCATGATATCAGTCAACGTGACTTTCGTCCTAGTTGAGTTGCTTTTAAAAATTCAGTCACCTCTCAAAGTATTTTATTGAGCTGTCACTTGGAAACAGAAAGCACAATTCTTGGTAACGAGGACAAACTTTCAATGGGTGGAAGGCACCATAAACCACTTCAAATAGTAAGTGAACATTACTTCTAAGTCGCTTTCTGTTTACAGTTTACGGGCTAGCTAACCAAATATCAACAAAGACAGATTATAACCAGGTTTACAGTTCTATTTTATTTTATGTATTTGTACTGTATATTTCAAATAAACAAGTTCAGGAAACTCATTCAGCTAAAAAAAATCAATCGTGCTGACCCAAAATTGTCGTCCAAAATTTATTAATTCTTTTTATTGAGAGATTTTTTGTACAAATCAATCTAGCTCAGCGTGGGCATCTGACAGCAGTCAATTAATGTTATTTTTTAAGGTGATTTCTATTATGAGTAATGTGCTCCTTGCAATCCTTTTTTTCACCTTTAGCAAAAAACCTTTCGGCGTGATTTCAGGGGAAAGTCCCTGAATCAGGTAAGAGCTTTTTCATGTGTAAAAATCGAGCTGTCTTTCTCTGATTAATTCAGTGAACCGAATGAACTCACCAAAAATAATTTTTCAAAAGAACTGAAAAACAAACAAACAAACAAACAAACAAAACAGGTGTATTAGAAAGCTTTTTGCAAAATTTATCAAAACTATGACTATTTGTACGGCAAAGTTGCGAACGCAGTCGCATTTCCGGTTTTCACGAAACAATCGACAACCGGAATTACGTTTGCGTTCACTGGCTATTGTAGCTTCGGTGCAAAGGAATTTACCTAACTCTCCAATGGAGGCTACTTTTGTCCATTTTTGACAAAAAAATTGTTTCGAATTAATTTTTCGGTGATAGTGACCGGTATAGAAATTTCATTTGGTGAAAAGGAAAAAAAATTGTCAGAATTAAAGTTCGCAACTGCTAAAGGAACGTGAATCATGATGTCGCAGTCACGCACACGTGTGAACTTTGATATCACATCATTCCAACTAATGAATACGTGTTCACAATTTTTTTTTGTAAAATAGTGCGAAAAACATATTCAAATTATAATGATCATAAATCTTAACAGATCGTTGATTTAACTTGAGTATTGGATATGTATTTCGCTTAATTTCTTAACGGCTAATTTTATTTATAATGATTATAGTTATGAGTTCGAAGGGTGACTGTTATATCAGGGTCGTAACATGGTATATCCGGGACCCATTGATCCCTATTTTCTTGCCGTTATTTTGATCCCTAAGCCCCATTTTCCCCAAAATTTTGATCCCTGAGCCCTGATAAAAAAATTGATCCCATCCATGTTTTTACACAAAATTTTAACTTAGACAACTTTGTTTATCTCCAAATATAGAATATAGAACATACTCAAATGGGCTGAAGAGAAAAACATTAACTTCATTTTTTAGTGCAAGTTGTAGGTTTTATCAGAGCTTTAAAGATCAATATTAGTCAACCTCTTTTTGTGCATTATTCTGTTTAGAACACTTTAAATATAATGTTTGGCGATACTAGACAAATGATAAAACCTGATTTTCTTGAACGGGAACGTTAGTAAGATACAGAATGGAAGTTATTGTTAATTTATACATTAAAAGAAGTAGTCCAGTTCCTTTTAAGTATCGTACATCTTGAAAGATCTTGCGGCGGAAACTTGGTTTTTTCAGGTGTAGCGTTCATCAGGAGTATCCGTAGGTTTATTTTCAGTGTTGCTCAGACGAGCAAGGCCACCCGGAGGTTTATAAGCCAATCACAAGAAAGCATTGGATTCAAAATTCGAATAAATACATTTTTAGTCAATCAGCAAACACAGCTAGCGCTGGTTGGTCCCGGATGAATTAACGGCACTGTAAGGTACTTCTGAAATTAACTAAGGTCTTTCTCTAGCTTTCCAATTCCTGTCCCGTGCGAACATCTGCTTGCCCGGATAACTTGTCCAGTTAATTAATGTCCGATCTGTGTGGATCACAGATGCTTTATTTTCAAAGAGACTCTTGCAACCAAAAATTTCACGTCGGCCGTGTTACTGGTCTAAAATATTAATGTTAATAAAGTGTAATCGTTTGTCTCACGATTCAGTCACTTTATGACGTAGATCGCGACGTTTCAACTACGTATTTCAAGTGTTCATTAGAAAAAGCAATACTTAGAGACCTTGCCTTGCTAGTCTTCGTCGACTGGTCACACGTCAACTTATATGACTCCAAGCTCTGGTTCTGGTTGGTCGATTATTAGCCGCTGAGATTGGTGCATTTCTTACTCCGTTGTTTGTATGAGCTTTTGCTTCACTGGTCCGCTGTCGTGCGGACCTCCTATTGCTGTGTTTCTTGATTAAGGGCAACTAAGCTACTGGACTTTCCATTCTGCTATCCCTGTTGATGTTGTGTAGTCTTATGCTAATTTCCTCTTTCACTCTGTGTGTGTTACAATGACGATCACGATCAATTACCAATAGCAAGAAAAATTAAATGATGCGCAGTCTGGTACACAAGGGGATCTTCTTCTGACTGTTCCAGCCATCTCAAACTCATGTGATCTTCCTGGAATGCGTCACCTTTAAGGTGGAGATCTTTTAAAAGAACTGCAAGGAATAAAGGAATGATATACCTCTTGTAATTGTGCTTGAGAGCCACTACGTCGCCTTTTGAATAGATAATCTCATATTCTTCGGCTGCGCCTTGAAGTGTAGTTTGTCCTTCACTCCCTTGAACCTCTTTCAGCAGATCGACTTCTCCGGCCATGTGCCGACGCATTCCTTCTGAACATACTCAGAGCAAGTGGAAGTGTACCAGCTCTTTCTTTGGTCTTCCCTCTCGTTCGTTGCTGTCGTACACCCCGTCCAAATTCTTTCGCAAAGCTCTGCAATGTCTTCCTTTGTCGCTCCTTTCCCTCCGCCCTCGTTTCCTCGTCCNAAAGGAATGATATACCTCTTGTAATTGTGCTTGAGAGCCACTACGTCGCCTTTTGAATAGATAATCTCATATTCTTCGGCTGCGCCTTGAAGTGTAGTTTGTCCTTCACTCCCTTGAACCTCTTTCAGCAGATCGACTTCTCCGGCCATGTGCCGACGCATTCCTTCTGAACATACTCAGAGCAAGTGGAAGTGTACCAGCTCTTTCTTTGGTCTTCCCTCTCGTTCGTTGCTGTCGTACACCCCGTCCAAATTCTTTCGCAAAGCTCTGCAATGTCTTCCTTTGTCGCTCCTTTCCCTCCGCCCTCGTTTCCTCGTCCATATCCTCCTTAAGGTCTTCTCTTGCCGTGCGACTTTCGAAGACATTAGGTGCCTTTGGACCCAGCTTTCTCTGTGTGTAATGGCTTTGAGGACCGGTACAAAAGATAAACGAGGACTGGTAGAGCCTCTCTATTGATTCTACAAGGCAGCTGGGCCGCGGCGATGCGTAGTCGTTCAGAGCGGGTGTTCTTACTCCACTAAAAAATTCAGGCCCCAGATCTAAGGTGGTGATACCTTTCGGGGCCAACCATTACATAAGCCGAGGCCGAATAGCCCAAAGGGCCGAAAAAATTGTTGTAGATCAATATTGTCACTTAAGTCTGGAAATTTTGTGCAAAACAAAATAGCCACTGCAGGAATGAGGTCTGAAAAAATCTTGCATGAAAACAAATAACCCATCCCCGGCTCAAAAATCAAATAGTGAGCCCCTTACTGGTGGCCCTTCATGCTGAGTACAATAATATATTAAATTCCTGCAGACTCTGCTACTTGTACCTAGTATGCAACATTCCTTTTACTGGTGGCCCTTCATGCTGAGTGTTATAATATATTAAATTCCTGCAGGCTCTGCTACTTGTACCTAGCATGCAACATTCCTTTCACCAATTCAACCGTTTATTTTATATAAAAAAAACTAAAGAAAATAAACCATAAAGGCTTTGTTACTTCTATTTCACCGAGGTAAGTCTTTGGTGTTCCACTTATTTTCACTAATCAGAAAACTAATTCTACACCGTAATTTCAGATTATTTGTCATACAAGCATTTATCAGTTATACATTAATAGAATGTGTCCTTTACTTTCCGGGCCCAATACTACCCGGACAATACTAGTACTGGTAGGTAAACCGATCTCGGTTTCTCATCAGAGTTCGAGGTAACCCTAAAACTCCATGCAATTAGAGCAGATTTATTAAATTGCGAGAAAGCATTTATTCTGCAACAAAGCGCGCAAATTCATTGTACTTAATGCATTCTACTTTTGACATCCATTCTAATTATTTAAGTGCTTTAAAGGGTTAAGTTACTAGTCAAAAAATACGAACCTCGATTTATAGTCGCCTTGTGATTTGCTTGAGGCGATGAGGCACCTATGCAGTAAATTCCGCTTTCAATGAATCGGTTTGTCTATTGTCCTGTATGGTTATGTTTGATCGGCCAAAAAACTTTATGCTTGGACCCTTGCCAGGAGTAAATCAGTCAAGGAACTACTTACGTCCGTCACAGGATTTCTTTTTGTCCTTTTTCGTCTTCCCCATTTCTCGCAAAAAAAGATATGTATAAATCGCTTTCTCCGCCTTCTGGCATTGACGGCGCGTTGAGGAGTTGCGTTACAAAGCGAGAAAAGTGACTTGAGATTCACATTACAGTGCTCTCAACAATTAATAAATATAACAGAATATGATACCATGTTTGCGTCAAACAACCAGGACTTCGTATAGCCTCCCACGCAGACGTTCTTACGGGTTCGTCACGCAATCTTTCCTTCGTGGGGTAGGAACGCGTGACGAACCCCTAAGAACGTTTGCGTGGGAGGCTAGACTTCGTATGACAGGAACTACCGCCAGCCGAAGCAAGAATAGGTGATGTACCTCTGCCAGGAAATTCTATGGACAGAAACCTTATTATGCAGAAAAATATTGTGATAAGAGATTTTTAGACCGTGTAATAAATCTGATCCCTGATTCGGGCTTAAAAGCTTTGTGATCCCTGATCCCATTCTTCTGAGCCCTGAGCCTTTTCCTCTTAGCCCTGATCCCAGTCATATTTTTGGCTTTGAGCCCTGAGCCTATATACCATGTTACGACCCTGTTATATTGCAAAAATATAAACCGAGTTTCTCTTTAAGCACCAATGCCTGTAAGACGGATTAAGGTCAGCAAAGGCGAAGTGCAATGGCGAAAAGTTTTGTGGCCATTGAAATTGCCCAGAAAAAACTAAGAAAATCGATTAAGTGAATTCAACAACTTTTTGTGTGGGGTTGGTATTGTGAAGAGAGGATTTATTGTTATTCAGTTATTTTGCTTTCGCTGGTAAAAATATGAAAAGCCAATGTAGAAATCATTTATTCTTTAGTCTTAACTACTTTTAGCCGTAGACAACCTGTTGATTTATTGAGCGTAAACTTATTTGTCAAGTCATAATTGTATTTAGTCTGCAAGCTGTGATCAACCTGTAAAAAGCCGTTATCCACCTGTGTAGCTTTTGGCAGTAATTGATGTTTCAAAACAAGCTTAGGTTTCCACCAATAGTCTTGTAGAAATGATTGTTGTGCTCTGTAATTACACTCGTTGAGTTGTGATGTAATCTGTATCGCTTCGCTAGGTTAGGCTTAAATACGAGTGCTTTGTAGGAACTTCTTCGGTTACGTCCTGGTTACATTCTTGTTACATCTAGTCTTGGTTGTATTTTGGTTGGTTATGTTTTGACTCTACCCGTGATATGTCTTGGATTAAACCTCTACAATGGAGCCAAGTTCTGTTGTAATCATTGTCTCAAGGGTGTTCAGCAGGCGTAAGAGATTCCGTGCCTTCTCGCAGCCAGCGAGTGTCCCCAGGAAAAGGCCTTTCCCAGATAGTTTTAGAGTTCTTCCACGTCCGTCAGTTTACCTTTTGTGAAGGCAAAACCTGTTTCCACACTGGTGTTTATGTGAAAAAACGTGTTTTCACACTGGTGGAGATTCCCGGCAATTACGCAAGGAATACCAGAGGCAAAGAAACTTCACAGAACAGGATGTAACCCCTTGGAGCAAGGGAGTACACCCAAGTAAGTCAATTAAACTTAATGCCGCAATTTTTTCACAAAAAGAAAAGAACCTTTATTACAACCTAAGGAGCCGGAGTAAGAACCAAAGCACTCCGAAGTCGAAAGTAGACGCCTGCGTTGAGTGCGATTTCCCTTTCGACGAATCAAAAATATCTCCAGAATTGAGGCGTGGGCCAGTTACTAAAGAAAGAACTAGCTCGGAACTGTTAGAACCTTCTCACAAAAACTCTGTAGGGTTTAACAAGACCAACTTGTAACCTGTTGATATTGGTGTAGATTTCGATAGCGACGACAGTCTTAGTGCTTTGGACCCACGGCGCCTCAGAGCTCTCGTAGAATCTGAGGAAGAACTTTATTCAGAAAACGAGAGAGAAAAAGAAAAAGAGAACTGTACGGATAACCTTTTTACAACAGGTAGTCAACAGGTACCCGCGAGTACGTCACCTGTTACTGGTAATATATCACCTCCTGGTAGTACATTACCCTCCACGACCGCACTGCTAGATCCTACATTTATAGAACAACCAGAGGTGATAAATACTACACCAATTGTTATCAATTATACTGCTGGTGGACAACAGTTACCGACTATCAATTCACCTGCTGATATTTATAAACATTTCTCACGTAAAAGTTGTAAAGGCGGATTAGGAGTTACTGCCGCTAGACATAGTGAACCCTTCTCAGACTCTGATCCTACCGACGATTGAAGTTCAACCAGTATGGATGGAGAATACATTCGCGCGCTAACTGAACTTACTCAAAAGCTCTTAAATAAAGACGTAAACATAAACAAATTCCATGGATATGAAAATGAGGACATAAATCGCTGGTTTGAGAAATTAGAACTAGTTCTGGACTCTAAAGGAATCAGGTTAGATGTCCCCCCGCAAGAACACAGCTTATTTACAATCTTGCTGGACCAGCGGAAACTTTTATGTTTGAATTGCCACCAGACGAGCGCGGAAACTATAACGCTTCAAAACAAGCCCTGTTGAAACGTTACTCTACCAAGGACCGCGCATGGGTTAAACGACGTCGTTTAGTTGCTCGCCGTCAAGGCCCGAATGAGTTACTATCAGATTATATCAATGATATGCATGAACTGTTCAGCGGACTTAATATGACCGAAGTGGACAAGGTGACATTTCACAGAAGGATTACTGCAACCCTTAAAGACCAAAGTCCTAGAGCGAATGCCGGAAACACTCTTGCAAGCAGAAGAAGTGGCTAGAACAGTCGACTCAATATCACCGCAAGAAACCAGCACCAAAGAAAGCAGCCAAATTGAACGCCTAATTGAAGCATTTACCCGCAGTCAACAGGTACCCGCTCAAGCAACAGGTACTAACGCTTCACTTAATACTTCACAACAACAGTCACTTCAAGCACAAATAGAAACATTAACACAGAAGCAAAGTGAACTTACACATACAGTTACCAAGTCAGATAAAGTTGCCGCTTATTCAGAGCCACAAGTAGGTTGTCAAAGTAAGATTGAGGAACTTTAATACTAAACTTGTGAAACGCATGGAAGGTAACTTTCAGGATCAAATTGCCAGTTTGGATAAGAGGATGAACGCACGCATCACTGGCCTCGCACAACGTCAGCGAGAGACTCGTAACACTAGGGAGCGATCAAGAGATGGCCAACCTTGTTGTTATGTATGTGGTTTGCCTAGCCATTATCAAAACAGTTGTCCACGACGGAACAGCCCTGAAGGTGACCGACCGCCGGTGCCCAGGTACGCGCTGCCTGCTCCTGATAACTACACACAATATTCAAGTGGCCCTCAAGCACGACAGCGTGCCTTACCACCGCCGCCGCATCAGAAACGAATCGCTGCCTTTCAGGACAGTACTCCAACCTCTTCCAGTCATCCGGAGTTGCCTATATACGACTCTCCCAAATATGACTCCGTTGATTGGGCCTATTATTATGATGATGTCCTACCGGAGCCACAACGATCAAGACTTTAACGATGTAGACTTCGATGGAGATTGGGATTATTATTACGATTATGAACCAGAAACCGAGGCGAGCAAAAATGTAGACGAGTTAGATGGAGTATATGAAGAAACACAGCCAACAAGTGTCTCTACCTTGGTCGAGAGTTTACACAGTACAGTAACCGCTGACCAGCTGTTGTTGCCTCCTTTTCCGTTTGAAGATCCCTGTCCTTCTTCGTAGACACCCAAAGCGGCTGGTTTGTTACTTGAAGAAACATGGGCTGTGCCTAACCCGGTGACTGAGTTGCCGCTTGCCAACTTTGGGAAGAATCCCGAACAGCCTCAACAAGGACCAATACTGAGTGCCACACCTCAATTATACGCAGGTATGAGTAGCTTGCCCCCATTTACTGACAAAGTAGGCCAGTTAGCAGAACTGAATTTTATCCACCCGTCCCGGCCACTAATCCGGTGCCGACTGCAACAGCCATACGTAGTAAGACTGCTGACACCAGAATTCTTGGGCACTATCCTCCAGCTGATCATGAGCCAAAGGCAGAACCAGCCATGACCTATCCGCCAGCACCAGTTGGTTGATATCTTGCCACCCCATATCCAGATGACGTTGGAGTAGATCCTACTCAGTATTTTGGAACTAACTCTCCTAAACCAGAGTTAGCAGGTTACAATAAAGTAGCTCTTAGGATGGCTCAGCCACCACAGACCAAAGAGGTAAAGCAGACGTCAACAGCCACTGCTTATAGTACCATGAGCGCTGATAACCACATTACAGGAGATTCCAGCCGATCTCGCTATGAAGACCTTCCCACAGAAAACCCAACCGTTGTACATTCTAGGGAGAAGACAGTTTCGGTTCAAAATTTCGGAGAAATGGTCACGACTCAGGTCAGTAAACAAGTGAAACCCTTAACCAACCAGGAAACAGACAGAACTACCAAGCTAGAGCAGAACTACCTTGTAGCTCTCAAAGCAATACCGAGTGACCAATCAAGTTTCCTTTGCCCTGAGATTGGACAGTCAAATCCTGATACTAGACAACCTGGTACTAACCACTCCCTACGAGCGCAGATAGTTTCAACAGAACCGAAAACCAGAAGAGCAACTCATTCTCAGCTTCATAAAGATTACCAGCACGAACTTAAGGACGAGCTTACTGAAGTTATAAAGGATATGGAAGGAAATCTGTTGAACAAGATTACAATTTTGGAACGACGCTTGGGAGGAAACTTAAGACACAGTAAGGTACAACCATGGAAAAGGACTTGCTTTTATTGTGGAATGGTTGGCCACATTCAGATCAACTGCCCTCATCGTAGTTGCCAACAAGGGTCCTATAATTATAAT